GCTCCATATTAGGACAATCGGGTTCATTTTACTATGCTACTTTTGTGTTGGCTTGAAATTTTCCATAATAAAGTATGCACAAAAGTGCACAAAAACTAAATAAAACGGGGAAAAGCCCACCCCAAAGTAGTTCATACATGAATGGGCCCCGAACAAAAGCCATGTTTGAATTACAAAAAGCAATCTCTTTGCAGTATTTCTGGGGGAGCCACGATCCACACTTGGATGATTATGGAAGTGTCTGCAACACATTTTAGCAGACTGGAGCTATAGCAAAAAAGCCTTTATATGCCATCCAGTGGCATTCACTAGGACTGTAGAGCTGAAAATTTCTGGACGCTGTGGTACTACATACATCATTTGTTAATGAAGACCTGTATGACTGAAGGACATAAAATAATCCAGACATGTGAAATACCTGTATCTTGGATGTTTCCTGAGAAACAATTTAAGTCGGGCAGCATGCAGGAGCATTTCCTATAAAAGCCACACATGGCAGCATGCGCCTATAATACCAGCACTCAGGGAGGCTAAGGTAGGCAGACTGTAACTTTTAAGCCCAGCCTGAGTAACATGACTTAGAAAGACCCTGCCTTAAAAATAAAAAAAAAAAGGGCTGGGGTATATATAAGCCCAGGACAAAGGCTATAGATTCAATCCCCAGAATAAATACATAAACAAGCCAACTCACTTATTTAAATAAATGGAGTCCCTATAAAACAGAAATGGCTTATATAGGAACATACAGCCAGGGGAATTCAGAGGACCGATTTACAAGCAGCCTCCTGCCCCTACTTGGCTCACTTTGGAATCACCTGAAGAGCTCCTAGAGCCTATGATTGTAAAGATACTTACTACCCTCTGCACGGTTCTCTAGTGTAATAATCAACAAAGTGTCCTTTAGTTTATGGACAGCATTCCCAAGGTGAACAGATAAATGGTCAGCATCCTCCTCGGGAAAGCTAGAGTCTGCTTGAAGAAGGTAAAAACCAGACAGCTCAGCATGCTACTTCTGGGTTTTTACTGAACTCTGCAGATGACACCAGAAGTGCAGGTAGTCTTGCGAACAGAAGATGAAGAGAAAGATACTGGTGAGATTCAATAACGAGGTGCACTGGTACACTCCTGCAACCTCAGCTACTCAGGAAGCTGAGGCAGCAGGATTACAAGTGTGAGGTCAGCCAGCTAAGGCAGTGTGGGCAGTCCCTGTCTCAAATGAAATTAAGAGAGGCGAGGGGATGGGGATGAAGAGCACTTTCCTAGAATTTATGGGTTCAATCCCCACACTACATGGCAAGAAAGAGTGGAGGGGAGGGAGGAAAAAGATGACTTAATCATATATGCTACACTGAAAGAAAACTTCGTACTTTAACCAAGGGGACCATTGTGAAGTCTTTTATTGTTCTTTTCTAGAAACAACTCAACTTCAACAGAGTAACACTGATAGCAACATGAAGAAAATGAACTTGATGGTAAACATCAAAGTAGAGATTATAAATTTGTTATAGTGACGGGAATGTCAGTTTTTTAAGTACAATGACACAAGTTCAATGACAGTACAACCGAGAAAAGTATAATGGAAATATGAACAAAAACAGTAGTGATATATAGTACAGTCATGAACCTTTTAAGAAAGGAACAGTTTCTGAGAACTGAGTTATAAGGCAATTTTGTCTTTATGCCAACATCAGTGAATAAGTATACACGCACAGATTAATGAGGCTGGGGTAACCTAATGGGGCCACCCATTCATGTATGTATTCTCTCTTTCAATCATTGTTTGAAGCATGACCATATTTGTCTTCTTTCCTGGAACAGTTCCAAAAACCTCCTTGAAATTTCTGGATTTGGGAGGTGGTAGAGGGCAGGTTGTAGTACTGGGGATGAATCCAAGGCCTTTTCACTGAACCACATTTTTTTCTACTTTAAGACAAGGTCTCACTAAGTCATTAACTTCCCAGATGAAGCTTGAAATAGTAACCCTTCTGTCTCAGCCTCTCCAAGGGTTAGCATTTCAGCGGTATGCCATCATGCCCGGTTGTGACTATATTTTTATATGCCAATGAAGTGCAACTGATGACTGAGGTTCCAGGATAGTGAGGTGGCAAGTGGGTTATCACTTTCAGTACTACCCTCTAAGCTCAGAACGGAAAGGGTCTGAAGGCTGCGCTGCTCACAGGTGACCAAGGACCTCATCTGTCATATGGTGAATGAACATCTATAAAGCCTCAGAAGGGTGGGGAGTGGCTGTTATGCCAGCACTCTGGATGGCAATAAGTTCACAAGTTCAAGCCCCACCTTAGGCAACTTAGCATGTCTCAAAATAAAAAAAGAGGGTTGTGGATGTAGTTCAGTGGAAAAGCCCTGAGACTGTTCCCCAGTACAGCAAAACAGAACAAGAAACCCCTAGATAAGGTATCCGAGGAGTGGGGTTTAGCTCCATGTTAAAACACTTGCATGGTACACACAAGGCCCAGTTCAATTCCAGTACCACCACCAAAATGACAAAACAAAAGATCATCAAAATTCTGGCCATGCTATTTACGATGGGATGTTGTAAAGATTACTAAAGCTTTCTGTGAGTAGACTCCCTCATCTCTAGTCATAATACCAGTACCCAAACTTTATAACTTAAATGTGGTTGGCACACATTTAACAATTACAACAATTGTTGTTAGCAATTGAGATTATAGTATCTGATGGGCACCATGGCACATATCTGTAATTCCAGCACTCAGTAGGCTGAAGCAGGAGGATCACTGCAAGTTCAAGGCCAGCCTTATCTACATAGTGTGATCCTGTCATGAAAAAGAAAAAAAAAAAAAAAAACCACCCTACTGTGATCAAATTTATGACAATGAAGGCCTGGCCAAATAGCTCAGAAGATTAAAGTGCCTGCAAGCAGGCACAGGAGCCGGGTTTCAATCCCTGGTCCTGCTCTCGGGCCATCTCTGCCTCCAGCGCATGCTGAGCTGCAACTGAGACTGGGTGTGGTGGTGCATGCCTGTAATCCCAGCTCTTGGGAGGCTGTAAACAGCTGGATCACCACAAGTCTGGTCTAGTAGTGAGACCCTGAAAACCCTGTAGACCTTTTCCTAAAATACAAAAAAAAAAAAAAAATTATGTCAATGAATTCACTGAAGAAATCATAAATTCAAGGCCTGCTTAGGCAACATAGCAAGATACTATCCTGAAAAAAAAAAAAAAAAAGTAAAAGAAAAGCTAGGTGTGAGGCAGGAGGATGGTTAAGTTTAAGCCCAGCCTCAGCAATTTAAGTGAGACCTTGCCTCTAAATGGAAAAAAAAAACAAAAGGGCGAATGTGTCAGAGTCTGGCACAGACCTATAATTCTAGAACTTGGGAGGTTGGGGCAAGTGGATTACTCAGAGTTTGAGGCGCCAACCTAAACTACACAGGGAGACCCCTTCTCAAAAAAAAAAAAAAAAAGTGGAGATTTAGTGTGAAGATCCCGGATTCAATTCCCAGTGCGACCTAAAGAGGGTGCAAAGGAGAGGGAGGGGAATTTAAAACCCAACTATTTCTACCCCCAACACCTTCCGGGGAGTGTTGAGACAGGGTCTCACTATGCAGTTTAGTCTGATTGTGAACTCACTATGTAGCCCAGGCTGGGCTTTGAACTCAGCAATCCTCCTGCCTCAGCCTCCCAAATATTGGGATTACAGATGTGCCACCATTGCTTGGCTTCCTAAACTTTTTTTCCCCCCCCTAGACTTTCTTGACAATAGATTCATGAAACTTATTCCCACCCACCCAGAAAAATTTTTCTTAGAAAACACTTTAGAAGCCCGGCATGGTGGCACATGTCTGTAATTCCAGCACTGGTGGAGCGGGGGGTAGGGTAAGACAGAAGGATTGCTGTGAATTCAAGACAAACCTAGGGTACAAAGTGAGCTCAAATTCAACCTGAACAGTATAGCAAGATTGTTTCTCAGAAAGAACCAAAGAATAAAAGAACGAAAGAACGAACGAATGAAAGACCACTTTAGAAACTTTTAGACTGTAATAGGTCAGACCAACTTTTTTTACTTGTAATAAACAGATGCTCTAGAAGCTAAAGAAATTCAACAAAGAAGATAGTTATTATATACCTGAGTAAAAACTTCAGTACTCAGGTGAAACAAATTCATAAGTAAACATCACTGATTCTCATGATTAAATATGGTTAAAATATAAAGGAGTATATACATGCTGGTAATCTTATTTAGCTGTTTATAAATTCTTAGTTTTTGAGCAAATTATACATCTAGGACTGGCAAGACAGCTCAGCGGACTAAAGCACCTGCTTAGGCAAGCGCAGGGACCATAGTTTAATCCCTGGCATCATATGCAGTGCCAGCTCCACCTCAAGGGCAGGCTGAGCCGCCAGAGTCTGGGCATAGCAGCGCATGCCTGTAATCCCAGTGCTGGGGAGGCTGAAAACAGGAGGATCACCATGAGTTTGAGCTGCATAGTGAGACCCTGTACCAAATATATTAAAAAAATAAAAAATTATACATCGAACTTGACAGCAATATAGCTATACTTTGATGTTAAAATGGCTATCATCCACACCCGTAAGAAATCAGCCATACCCTTAGTGCTTTATAGGTTATAATGTACTGCCTAAATATATTAGTAAAAGCTTATTTGTACCAAAATAACAAAGAAATAATGTAATTCTATTCATATATAGAGGCCGGGGAGATAGCTCAGTAGAATAAGAACTTGCCTGGCAAGCACGAGAGCCTGAGTTCAATCCCCGGTTCTGCCAAAAAAAGAAAAGAAAAGAGGAAAACAAACAAACAAACAAAAAAACAAAAAAAAACTATTCATACAAAGCAAACCTGTATAATGATACATTTCAACAAACATTTAAAGACAAAGATGAGACAAATTTGTCAAAACACGTAATTCCTCAAGAAATAAAACACATAAAATTTAGATTTCAAAATCTGAGACAAAATCTGTAAGTTTCTCAGTAAGTAATTATGACTTCTGTACCTATGTTCTTTGTGTTCCAAAAGCTGACAGTCTCTACATGTTAGTCTATCACATGTTTCACAGAAAAGTTTCAACTGTTCTTGTCTGTGTACAGGGCAGAAAACAGGGCGCTGACCAGATGCTCCAACAGACTCTGTAGCAAAATAAAACAAATATTTTTTTCAATTAAACATGATAAAAATTTTTACTAATTTTCTAATTTCAATTGATGCTAAGATATGTAAAACTTTTACAAATAAGTAGAAAAAGTTGTAAGATTAATCAAAATCATTACAACTACATGTTTCTTACCTGAGACATCTTCTTTCTTCCTGATCAAGTGATCTTTAGTGAATTTTACTCTTTGATGTGCTTCAATACACGTCTTACACAGCCACTCTCCACATTCTACACAAAAGCCAACTGCACTAGCATTGTCTTCACAACTTGTACACACCTAAAAGAAGAAATACTAATCTACATTAAATTTACAAAATAGAGATCTCTGCAACAAAATGGTGAAAATATTCTAACTTGTTGTCAAATATATTAGACTCACTATAAAGAGTAAAATTTTTGTTAGCCATTTGTCTCCAATTAAATCCTTTCCTTACAGATCCAACTTTTAGGTAGGTAAAAATCTCAGGCCCAGAACACAGACTCTATACAAGATTCTACTTCTGAAACAATAGTTTAGTTTTATTTAACCAAGTTTGATGGTGTAGAAGAAAACCAACCTTTCTTTTTTAACCAACCTTTCTTTTCAATGTGAAAGATAAAACTAAAAGCCTAAATCATTTAACTACCCCAAACATGGATTTTTTTTCTTATAATTTACATCTTGATATCACAATATGAAATAAAGAAAAATTGAGAGGCATACCTGTTCTGATTTTTCATCAGAACTGCTAGGGGCTTCAGATGTGTCTTTCACAAAATAATTATCCACAAGGTCTATCTGTCTGCATTCTTGGCGGCATACTGGGCACCGTATTACACCAACTACAACACAAAATGGTAACATTAAATAATAGTCAGGGGGAAGAGTAACTGTGCATGATGCCCATATGGGAACCATTTGTGTCTCAGGCATGCCCAAAAAATGAGCAACAAGAACTGTGTAAAATGACTGAGTTATTTAAGGGTGTGTGTGTGCGCCTCCCAACACTGGTTTGGTGTTTGTTTTTTTTTTAACTATAATATGTGGGGGGATAATAATGCTCCCCCAACAAAACCTTGACCTTCAAAACCTGTAAGTGTTATTTTACATGGCAAAAAGAGACCTTGCAAATGTGATAAAACTTTTCTGATGCTGGCTGGGGCAGGGGCCTGCCTTCAACTCCTGAGTGTTAGGATTACAGGCATTCACCACTATGTCTGGCTGCTAAATTAAGTTTCTTGAGGTGAGATATATTTCCCACCTGAAATATGTCCAGCAGGCCATAAGTATACTCAAGTGACCCCATAAGAGATGGGCAAAGCTGGGCATTCTGGAGCACACTTGTAATCTCAGTATTCCATCCAGGAAGCTGAGGCAGGAGGATCACCAAGTTTAAGAGCAACCTGGGTGATTTAGCAACTTGGAGAGCAACTGTCTCAAAATTTTAAAATGTCTTAGAAGGGTAAAGGATGCAGGTCAGTGTAAAAGCCTACAATGCTCAAATGTTTTGGGGGCAGATACAGATTCAATAACAAATGAACAGAAAGCAACTGACAGCAGAGATTAGAATGATGTACTTTGAAGACACTAGACATTACAAGAAAACGACTAGAAGCTGAATGATAAATGAAAATGGATCCTCTCTCAGAGCTTGCAACAGACTCAATCCTGACAAGACATTAACATCATCTCAGTAAAATTAATTTTACACTTCCTGCCCCTATAAGAGATGTATATTCCTCTGACCTATGAAATTTATGGTGATTTTGTTATAGCAGCAACAGAAAACTAATACACAATCTATCATGTTATAAAGTCTGACTTGGGGGGCCAGGGAGATAACTCAGCGGCTTAAACACCTGCCTGGCAAGCACAAGGTCCCAAGTTCAATCTCCAGTACCACAAAAAAATAAAATAAAAAAATAAAATAAAATCTGACTTGGTTCAGAGATACCTTAATTTATGCTACTGAAAGAAGAGAGCTCACCTGTGCTTTCACACAAAAGTGTTCGAACTGTCAGAAAAGATAAATTGCTTAGATAGTATTTGGAAGCTAATGCTAAGAAGAAAACAACACCTGTGTCAATACAACACACTATTTCATGTTGGGCATGAAAAGGAAAATACAGCATTAATTCCTACCTTCAAGAAAGGATTCAAGACTAGTATTAAAGTGGCATAGTGATGCATTATCTGTAATCCCAACACTCAGGAAACTGAGCCAAGGAGACTGCTCCAAATTCAAGGCCAACCTAACCGAAATAGTGAGACCCTGCCTTAAAAAAAAAAAAAAACCTTATAAAAGCAAAAAGATTAGCAGGTGTTTTCAGCTCATAATATGCAAAACTACAGAAAGCAACAAATAAAGAATGTAATACTTGGCAAGTGTAAGGTCCTGAGTTCAATACCTAGCTTTAAAAAAAAAAAAAAAAAAGAATGTGATAATCAACTGCTACAGAAGTTGTTGAAGAATTGTGTAATATGCAAACTACAGAAGCACATAGTCACTCTGATGTAAATGAAAATGTAAACCTCATTCTTAAAAGTAGGAATGAGTCTCCTGGAAGACATATATACATTACTATTGCTACATAAACTCAAATTACTGCATATATTTGAGAACAAAACTTTTATATAACATAATATTTATTACATTATTTTACCATCAAAATATCACATGCAAGGGCCGGCCTGATAGCTCAGTGGACTAAAGCGCCTGCTTAGGCAGAGTGCAGCAGCCAGGGTTCAATCCCCACTGTGCCTGCCGGCCAGTGGTACACTAAAAGGGTGATTGAGATTGGGCGTGGTGGCACGCACCTGTAATCCCAGCACTTGGGAGGCTGAAAACACAAAAATCACTAAGAGTCTGATCTACGTAGTGGGACCCTGTAGACCCTGTCCTAAAATACAGAAAAAAAGAAGAAAGAAAAATAAATATCATATGCAGGGGCCAGGGATGTACTTCAGCAGCACAGTGCATTCCTGGCAAGCACAAGGCCCTGAGTTCAACTTTTTTTTTTTTTTTTCAAATTTTATTGAGAAACAAATATGAATGAGACAGTTTCAAAGCTGATTAATAGCACACTTTCCAAAATCAATACATTGTACATTGTTATCTTTTTAGTGGTTATCCATAGTACAAGAAGCAGGCAGGATATCCTGTCCAAACACAGTACACCTCTTTTTTCTCATTGAATAAAGCAAAAGTAGCTGTATATCTATCCTATTTTGTATATATAAATACAAAATGATCTTTCCTTTGCATCCCCCTTTTTTTGTTTAGTCCTGTCAGAGTTGGGTATTCTATTAGCATCTAAATACTATAGGTGTTTGAACTCAGCAAAACAATCCAACACTGTCTAGCAGTCCATGATATTAGTGGGTTATCCTCAGAAGTTATTGACTTGAGCCTTTTACAGTTCATCATATTAATATGGCTTTACTTTATATACCTTGTTTTTATACTTTTCTGCTGGATGGTTAAGACCAGGATAAAGCAAGACCTATATAACAAGAAATGTAACTTTTGTATCTGATAAGGTCAGTCAAGTACCCTCAGGATTTATCCTGTAGCCCTGTACTGCACTTTGTAGATTCTTTGTCAGTGTCAGCCATGAGCATGAGTCATGGCCATTGCTTGACAAATTTGCTCTCTGTGAAAGCCTGAGAGAATGTTTTCTCTCCATGTGACTCTCCCCAGGCACACTCTACATCATCGATTACATTCCTCTGTGGCTCCATAATCTCCTTGATCAGAAAATTTGGAGCACAACTGAGACACATGATGTTACAGTACAGGTTCTCCTATGTCTTGAGTCTTCACTGACCTTGAAAGGCTGGGCCAAAATGTTGGTTGACCTTGCAGCCCTTCCTTTTCTCCAATTTTGATCTGCTAACTTACGTTGTTAACCCTCCAGAAGAGAAGCTTATTATTATTATTATTATTATTTTTTTTTTTTCAGAACCAGGGACTGAACTCAGGCCCCTGTGCTTGCCAGGAAAGTACTTATTTCACAAGATGCTTATTCTTAACCTGCAATATATGCAGCTCGGTTTACCCTATCTGTCTAAATATCAAACATCTTTGGCATATCATGGAACAGGTATTTTCCATCAAATATTGATTATGTTGAACTTTAAGTCCTCATAGAAAATGAAGGAAAAATAATTTTTAAAAACTAGAAATAAGCATTTACATACTTTTAAAAAGAAATTTAGAAATTTAACCATATACAGAATTGAACAGGACAGACCTGTGACATTTTTCTTATTCTTGCCTTTTTTTTATTATCCTTTTTTTAGAGGAAAAAAAAAAAAAGCCTTTACTTGAGAGACAGTATGGTAATAATTGGTATGTCATGACAAGAAGTACATATTAGAAGACCAGGATGACAGACACTCCAAGCGTGACCCCTCTATTACACATCGCCATCTTAAGTGCAGCCTCCTGGCTCACAGGCACAGTGCATTCCTGCATTCCTGGCAAGCATGAGGCCCTGAGTTCAACTTCTCATACCAAAAAAAAAAAAGAAAAGAAAAGAAAAAAATATACAAAGATCTTGATCAGCTAGGTGTGGTAGCACATGCTTGTAATTCTAGCGCTTGGAAGGCTGAAGCATGAAGATCAAGTTCAAGGCCAGCCTGTACCACATAACTGGACTTTGTTTCAATAAATACATACACACATACACACCAGCACTCACATAAGCAGACAAACAAATTTGATCAAAGGAAATACACAGAAACCACTTTCCAAACCAAAGAGTATACAGGGAAAGGATCAAGGCGTTCACTTTGAGATGGTATGAATTACCTGACAAATAATAAAATTGAAGTTAAGTATAACTAACTATAGAGACAATGATACAAGGGCAACAAACTCTTAAGTTAAGAGTTCATCAGTACCAGGAGGGGTGATACACAGGTGTAATTCAACACTCAGATGGTCAAGGCAGAATGAGGAAGTCTGAGGCCAGCCCCGCTACAGTGTTCAAGGCTGGCTTGAGCTAAACAGTAAGACTCTGTCTCAAAAACAAAACAAAATGTGCATCAGGTAACTGAAAGAGATGACAATTATCTGGAGTCTTGAGAAATGAAAATACATTTCACCAGTGCAGAAGTGGTTTTTTTGGCAGGCTTAAATTGCTCAAACCTTGCACATTTCTAAGAAAGCCCTGTCTAAGAACTGACCCTTGAGTAGTTTATGGGTTTAACTCTGAACCCATGCCATATTCTGTCTGTTGAGTATTTCAGTTTATCTTTGGACCAAATTAAGTTTGTCCAGGCCGTTTGTGCTAACGTATGACTTAATGGGATAGAGATTGGGGGGGGGGTTAAGTATGTTTGAGGCCTACTGTACCCAGGTAGACCCTTGGGTGGACCTGAGTCCCAGTAACTGATGTCAGCCCTACAGAGGTTGTAAGCTTTCAAGACTGATCCCCAATTAAAAACAAAAACTCTGATCCCAAGGCTCAGGCAAGATTTCCTGCTTAAAATATTCCTGCTTGAAAATATTCCTGTGTATTGTCTCACATTTTTTCTGAGATAATTAAGTAAGCACCCTGCTGTTCAAATACACTCAGGCTTTCATCTATCTGCTTTCTCTTTCAGATTTCAAATACCTTCTTCTCTCAGGAAGACACCAAGAAAAAGAATAGCTGGGTCAAATGAAACCTCTAGCACTAGTTTTATTGTTTGTGTTTTTCAGTACTAGGTTTCGAGGAATTTCCACACTGATTTCCACAGTGGTTGTACCTGTCTATACACCCACCAACAGTGGAGAAGGGTTCCTTTTGCCCCACATCCTCTTTAGCATTTTTTTATTAGATGATTTGTTAATGAT